CACGGCTAAGAAGCAGAGCGTGGATGAGGAGAATGGCGGAGCGACCGTTCACGAGGGCGAGAAGATCAGTCGTAACAGTGAGCCCGAACCTGGAGTGCAGAAGCAGGTGTCCATCTTCCATTGGGAGAACGTCACCTATGAAGTTCAGATCAAGGGAGAAACTCGCAAGATCTTAGATGGTGTGGATGGCTATATCAGGCCCGGTACACTGACGGCTCTTATGGTATGCCATCTCGACTAAAGATTTGACATTCAAGCTAACAGATCTCCAGGGCGTGTCAGGCGCAGGCAAAACCACACTGCTCGACGTGCTCGCAAGCAGAACAACCATGGGTGTCATCGGCGGCAATATGCTTGTCGATGGCCGTCAGCGAGACGACAGCTTCCAGCGACAGACTGGCTACTGCATGCAACAAGACATCCACTTGGACACATCCACTGTACGAGAGGCGCTGGAGTTCTCAGCATTGCTGCGTCAGCCGCCTGAGTACGAACGCGAAGAGCGCCTAGCCTACGTCGACCACGTGATTCGCCTTTTGGACATGGAACAGTACGCCGATGCCGTGGTCGGAATCCCAGGATCCGGACTCAATGTTGAACGTAAGCACTCCAATACTGCAACTTTGCTTCTACGAGCTTCGCTAATTTCCTACAGAACGTAAGCGCCTCACAATCGGCGTTGAGCTCGCCGCTCGTCCAAAGCTCCTGCTCTTCCTCGATGAGCCTACATCCGGTCTCGACAGTCAGACTTCATGGTCCATCTGCGATTTGATGGAGAAGCTGACCCGTGATGGGCAAGCAATCCTGTGCACCGTTCATCAGCCCTCATCTCTTCTCTTCCAGCGCTTCAACCGACTCCTTCTCCTAGCCAAAGGTGGAAGAACCGTCTACTTCGGCGAGATCGGTCGCGGCTCCGAAACTCTTCTTGATTACTTCACCCGCAACGGCGCATCAGCATGCCCTCCTGGTACCAACCCCGCAGAGTACATGCTCGCGGCGATTGGCGCGGCGCCAGGTGCAAAGACCGAGATCGACTGGCCTACGGTTTGGAAGAACAGCAAAGAGTACATGCATCTTCAGACCGAGCTTGCCGATCTCAGGGAGCTTGCCAACCGGCCCTCTGCTGTCATGGACTCAGCCGACGCCAGCCACCAGGTCTTCGCTGCCTCGTTCATGGATCAGCTCCGCGCTGTAGCCATGCGGTGCGCCCAGCAGTATTGGAGAACCCCTTCATACATCTATTCGAAGGCCATTCTGACGATTGGCTGCTCATTGTTGATCGGCTTTTCCTTCTTTGGAAGCGAAAACACGATGATGGGCCTCCAGAACCAAATGTTCGGTGTCTTCATCTTCCTCTTCGTCGTACGTAAAACCTTTTACAGCCAACATCGTATGCGCACTAACAACCAACCCAGGTCATCCAACTAATCTACCAAATCATGCCAATGTGGATCTCGCAGCGCACCCTCTACGAAGCCCGCGAGCGCCAATCAAAAACCTACGCCTGGCAAGCCTTCGTCCTCTCCAACATCTTCATCGAGCTAGCCTGGAACGCCTTCATGGCCATCTTCTGCTTCCTCGTATGGTACTACCCCGCCGGTCTATACCACAATGCAGAAGCCACAAACACAGTCAACATCCGCGGTTTCCACGCCTTGCTCATCGTCGTCGCCGTTTTCATATTCGCAAGCACACTCGCTCATCTCCTTATCGCTGGCTCCCCCAATGAGGAAATCGCTGGTGCACTCGCTACGCTGGTTACGATTATGCTGTATGCTTTCTGTGGTATCCTCGCTGGTCCCAACGATCTACCCGGATTCTGGATCTTCATGTACCGCGTTAATCCGTTCACCTACCTGGTATCGAGCTTCATGTCAACAACCCTAGGCCAAGCGCCTGCCTACTGCGCGGACTCTGAGTTTCAGACGTTCTTTCCGCCGCAGGGTCAGACGTGTGGGGAGTACATGGCTGAGTATATTGACATGGCGGGTGGCTATCTGAGAGATGCGCAGGCGACGGAGCAGTGCAACTTTTGTCAGATGGACTCGACGAACCAGTTTCTGCAGCGTATTCATGCGGATTGGGATACGCGCTGGAGGGATTTCGGGCTGCTTTGGGTTTACGTTGTGTTTAATGTGGCGGCGGCGATCTTCCTTTACTGGCTCTGCCGTGTACCCAGGACGAAGAAGGAGAAGAAAAACGCTTAGGCGATCTGGGCACGTTGTGTCGTGGTCGCAGCTGATCTTTTGCTTCATCGGGGATTGACGTGCAGTCAATGGTTTCCTTCTTTTTCTTCACCTCTTTCTGGGGAAGGTACTTTCATTGTTCGATACCTAGCCACAAGGCCCGCGATGTCACGGAACATAGATTTCTTCTTATTCAAACCTTAGATCTTAGTAATCAGTAACATACCACAATATCGCAACTGTTCGTTCTCTTACGATATATTGTTGATATTTTGAACGTACTGAGGTACCTGCTATTGCATGCGATATACCCATGGTGTACCGTCTCGCGACGCATACACCATATCGCCAACACTCTTCCCTAGCCATCCCCAACACACCGCAAAAGGCACCAAACCCCGTTAACGCCAAGGCTAAACTTCAATATCTATCCCTAAACCCGCTCTGACCAGCAGCAATGCAACAAATCGCCCCCAAAAAACATTGTGTCACGACCCTGCTCATTCAAACGCACTCAAATCCAATGGCACACTGCTGCCTCGTCCAGCGCGGTATCTCTTCGGTCCGCCGGTGAATTCTCTTGGTCGTGGGAATTGCCCTTCGTCCTGGAATCTCCATCTCAAATCGTGAATGGGCCTGATTCTGCCCTTTTCCCTCCCTCCAGCGTGCGAGCTGGTCGGACTCTTGATACTCGATCCGCCGTTGGACAAGGTGTATGAGCTTGAATCCATCATCGATCGCAGTGGTGTTTGAGAGGCGGGTCGGCTGAGCGGTTGGCTGGGTGGTGGAGAAGGCGCGGGTGCGCTCGGCGGTGCTGGAGGGGGAGCAGCAGGCGATGTGCGGCTGAATGCGTTGCGCGCGGCTGTTTCTGCGAGCGACGGCGCGTGCCCGTTCGAGGGTGGAGGCGGTGGTGGAGGCATGGGAGGCGCTGAATTGTATTTATACGGATCGTATTCGTCGTCATCGTCTGGTGCGCTCGTTGGTGGTGGGACTGAAGGCGGCGGCGGTGGTGGCGGGGTCGCTCGTGGGGCCGGCGAAGGTGGTAGTGGTGGAGGAGCGGGTGGTGCTCCAGTTGGTCGAGGAGATGTCGAGCTCGGGGGTAATGGCGGAGGTGCAGGCGGCGCGGATCCTGGGAGAGGTGGTGCCCGAGCAGGTGGTGCAGCGAGACCTGATGGCTTTCGAGAGGAGGGTGGTGGCATAGGAGGCTTCTTTCCAATCGGTGGAGGCGGCTTAGGCTTCCCGCTTATACTTGAGGCTACCGAGTTGGGCCTTGAGTCCTGACCCCGGAGCGCGTTCATCCCTGGTCGCATACCTGGAATCGGAGGCCCAGGAGGTGCTGAAGGAGGAAGTCCAGGCGGTTTGGGTGCTGCGCCTCGAGGAGCTGAAGCTCTGTTCGATTCGGGGTCTGACAGATAAGGCGCCTGGTCCTCTGCGCCTGTCTTGACACCGCCTGCTTTTCTAAGCTTCGGCATACCTCCAGCGAATATTCCCGCTAATTGTGGTGCCGAAGCCGGTACACTCCCTCCATCTCCATTGTCGCTGTTGGCTCTTGCCCGGTTTGCCCCTCCAGGGACGGCCGGAGCTCCAGGAATCTTGGGCGCGCCCATGGGTGCTGCTGCAGGTCCGTCGCTGACTTTGCCGACTATAGGGGAAGATCGATCGTTGATTTGTGTCACTTTCTTCAGTCGTGCGCCCTTTGTAATGTCGCCCAAAAGTGCTCCCTGTGACGCGTTAGCATGGGTTCCACGTAGTGCAGGTGTCCCTGTGAATGTGACGAACTCTGCCTGCACCCGGCGCTGGTGCTTTCATCCCTCCCATTGGCGGCGGAGCCGGTGGCATGCCCCTTCCTTTCCCAGGCATGGGAGGCGGTGGTGCTGGGTTCGGTGTCAGTACATCGCACGTGTAGTACGGAGAGGAGCATTGACTTACGAGGAGGCGGCGGCGGCATGGTGACGTTTTGTGTCGCAATTCAATCTGGTATATTCACGCTTTTCTGTTGTTGTGTAGGAGAGGGTGCGCAGACTTTGCTGCCTGATCGCGTGCGTTGGGCGTGCGAAGAGTGGAGTGTCATACTGAACGGATGGTTCGAGCATCCCAAGGCTCCTTACGTCAGCTGTGGCTGTGAGCGTTGTGGCGGCCCATGTGGCGTTTCTTGCGGGGTAGTGAACCACCAACTCCACCGCTTCTACTGTGATCTTCGCTTCTCTCTCTACCTAGGTAGTCATTGTTCTGCGCTCCACACGTGAAAAGTAAAACATTTCTTTTCATTGCTGTCTACTATACTTTTGTCGTTCTGAGATTGGGCCTAGGTATCTTCTTAGATCTTCTGTCTTAAGCTTTCGGCTTTCCAAGGTTGTCTACGAATACGCACCCGACTAAAAGACTCGACCTCGGGAGGTAAATACGTTTTCACAACTTTGCACAATCTTCACAGACCCCATGGGAGACTGAGATAAATCATGCTCGCACACCTCATTGGGCTTGGGTGCATACTACATTCGTATCAATGCGGCCTCGTCACACTAGTCGACCGTCTAGGCCCGCCTCGCCCGACTCTGGGTTGTACTTTCAGCTCTACTCGTTCGTTGTGGCTGAAAGAAGATGTTTTGGGTGAAGATAAAAGGCTCCCTTCTGTATCGACTTGCTCATGTTTAACTCACGCGAGAAGACTTTCTTGGAACATTCCGTGAGCCACCTCCGAAGCTAGTCGTTTCCTTGAGATCGCTTTTGGTTCTGGTCGCAGCGCCGTCCACATTTTTGGCACAGTCACACTGCCCATAGTTCTCCCCACTTCGCTCTTCGTGCCCTTCAACAATGGCAGCCTTGCTGTTGACCTTGGTCGAATCGGCGGGTTCTGAGCTGGCCTCGCAGATTGCCGAGCGTCTGGCCGACGGCTTGAATCTGGATTTTCTGAAGTCCGAAGAAGATAAGTTGCAGCAAGAGCTGAAGGCGCTGGGGAACAAAATCGACGAGTTGGGCAAGTTGATCGTTGACACGATCAAGAAGCAAAGGATTACGGACGCTGCGAATCGAGTGAGGAATTGCTTCAGAGGGTTGGAGGAAGCGGCCATGGTACGTTGTTTTCTGTCCACTGTCCATCTCCCCTCTGTCGACTGAGTTCGATAAAGGAAAGAAAACTGAGATAGGCTACAGGTGGAAGATGCTAAGCTATTCACCAAACGGGTGGACCAGATTGAAGGCCAAGACGGCGTCCAAGACCGGCTGGATGACATGGATGCCACGCTCATGAATAACGAGGGCGAAGGGTCACAGGGCCTCCTGCCGCCACTCGCCAAAGAACAATGGGAGATGCTGCAAAACGAAAACAATATGAAGTATGGCATCCAGGAATTTGAACGACAGCAGGAGGCGACCCTCAAGTATACCATTATGATAGAGCGTCTGGGTCTCGCCTTGGTCTTGCTGTATTACAGGTCGCGAAAGGAGATGGATGCAGCGAAGAAGGACAAGATCATGGCAAATGCAGCTGCGAGAAGCGACCAGCGTGTCAAGGCGTGGCGAGACTTGTGGGACGATCGAAAGCGAACTTGCCCTGCGTATGACACGCTCTGGAGCGAGATCAAGAGGCAGACGGCGTCCGAACCGGTATACAAGGCCCCCTTCATCAGGACCATCCAGGCGGCGCTCGATAAACCAGACGCAGGCGTGCCGGCGTACCAGGCGGGCGATGTGCTGGATTCAGAGGTGTTGCAGACAAATTGGCAGGTGTGCTGGAGGAAGCCGAGCTACGCCGTTCATGCGCATGAATGGGACTTCTCTTTCAAGTCCGGCACAGGCCGGTGGACGATCCGTGGTACAAGCAGGTAAGTGCCATATCCCACCGTCGCTCGTCCCCACGTCTAGAAGCTGACCGTGTGCAGCTCCTTCGATGCCAAGTTAATTCCGCTGCCCAATCCGCCCAAGAACCAGCCCCATATCCGCGTGCGCTGTACGAACAACGACGTATGGACTATCACTCTTGTCATTCTCCCTCTCACGCTGCCTCCCTCTGTGCAACTCTCGAAGCTCACCTCGTGGAATGACTATTGCGCCCGTACGTTCCTCGCCCGAGTCGAGAACCACTCGTCATACACTCTGATACCACGGTTGCGACGTATGACGTCCAGGGGTGATCTATATGGCGTGATTTCCTCGTTCGAGTGCCCCGTGCTGCCCGGAGGCACAAGCTACTTGGCTGGACATACTGGCAGGGCCTTGACGGGGGGCACCGGGCTGTTCGAGTATGCCATTTGGTCTAGCCCTCCCGCCATCACAGACTCCTCGCAGGAGAGCGAAAAGAAATTTCACGAGCTTAAGTGCTTCCTACCTGGGTCGCGCGATTATTTTGACGAGCAAGTGGGATACCAACTGCAGGTCGGGGCGGAGTACTTGGGAACCCTAATCTTGATGGTTAGTGTGAGTTACGGAGGCAACCCCAAGGGAGCAATTTATGCGAGTGATTACTGGGCCAGCGAGATCGTGTCGCTGAAAGATGAGGAATGTGTCACGGGCGATTACAAGTATACGGGAGCGAATAAGAGGGAGATGAAAGTGGTGAATATAGAATGGGATATTCAACAGGGAGATCACGTCGGGCAGCCAGGGACTTGGTTCAAGGTGTGCAACAAGTGAAGTTGTGCTCTGTTTTCGTACCTAGGTAGTCCAAACGTCCAAACACGCTAGTTCACCACTTTACATAATTAACATCGCCACGAACAAGCAGTTGAACAAGAACCACAAAACCAACAGTGTAAACTGGACAGGCATCAAATCCTCAAAAATACACACACAGCCAAGTACAAGATATTCCATGAACCAGCCAACACTGCGCGAAACAGCCCTAGAGCAGCCGTATACAACGACGCGCCAGCCAGCGCGTCCGCGTGAAAGCAAAAGAGTAACAACTCACCACTTCCCACACCCACCCAAACTTTCCAAACGCGGTAACTCGGTGCCGGAACCCCACTAGCGCAGTCAGTCAGTCTCCAGGGCTGCCAGCGACGAACATCAACACCACGGCACTGGAGATGTGACTGCATGCAATAACCTCGCGTAGAATGTGAGGGGCTGTAATTCCAAGAGAAGAATTTCCCGCCAAAGCTAGTAGACAACGGTGCAGCACACGGGTTGTGGATTAGAAGTTGTAGAGTAGGAGAGTCTGGCTAAGGTTTCCGGTGGAAAGAGTAACAGTCCGCCGCTTTCAACGGGGTAGCAAAGTTGCCGGATGCGGTATATTGGAACTCGCACCACCGAACCCAAATCCCATGCTAAAGCAGCGCATACCCATCTATCAACTCCGTGTAAGTTCCTTAGGATCGTCATGATGGAGGATTCATAAATCTAACCGCGGAGTACAAAATGAAAAACTTGTCTTTTTGCCGTGGAGATGCAAAGGGCAGCCAATCCGTTTACGGCGCAAGAGCGACTGTTCATCGACTTCACACTCAATAGACAAGAGCTTAGACTTAGACTGGGGAATTTGCAATACGATTCCTCTATTTCTTTCTTCTCCATAGCTATATGCTTCTTAAACAATATACTACACCAGCCCTATGCAATGCAATGCGACGCCACCCCCATGCCCATCCATATACATCCATATAACGAATCTCCCCATGCCCGCATCCCCGACAACGAAAGAAATTGGCGACCAAAAAAACGCCAAAGGGTATCAACAAACATGCCTCAGCGCACATACTCCACTCCGCCCCCCATACAATGTACTGCACCAATCTACAACTCCATATTCTCCTTCACCTCTTCCAATGCATCATCGACGTCCGCAGCCCCAAACACCAATTTAAGCTCCTTCGGATCCATAGTGCCCACAAACGCGCGCTTAACAAAAGTGTACCATTCCTTGGACGCCTTGTGTTTCTTGTGGTGTTTTCCCTTCTTTCCCTTTTTATGCTTGTGTTTCTTGTGTTTTGCGATGACGAAGTCGTTTTCATCCACTTCATCAGTTTCTTCTTCTTCCTCCAGCATATCCTCTACTTCTCCTTCAACACCGTCTTCTCCTTCCTCAACAGCGTCTTCAACATCCTCCTCTTCAACCCCAACATCAACACCCTTTGTCTTCCCCTTACTCGCCCCAATCTTCCGTGCATACTCCACCCACCTCCTCACAGTAAGATCCTTGAACCCATGGTCTTTCTTCGTGTCGTATTCCACCTCAAACACAAACTCATTCGGGTGCGGTTCGGGTCTCGGCTGCTTACCCTGGTGTTTCTTGTGCTTACCCTCATTCCACTTCTTATTCTCGATCCTACCGTCAGGACTAACACCGAATCCAAATATTGTGCTAACAGCATCGTTCTTGATGGAGAGACGGTCGTCGATGGCTGCATCGGGCGAGGGCTCGAGGAAATCGTTATTGATGTGTGTGAGGTTGGCGAAGTACTGGATGTGACGTGTCCATGTCAGGGTCTGCGGGGAGTAGGCCGGGCCGGGTGGAGAGGATTTCGAAGGGCCGTCTGGGACTTTGAATTTGTATTTTCGGGGCTTCTTTTTGCCCTTTTTGCCCTTGTGCTTCTTTCGCGTGGTTTCCACGTCTTCGTCGTCGGTATCGTCGTAATCGTCATACTCGTCGTAATCCGTGGGGGCAATCGGGAGTTGTTCGGCTGGCGTCTCGATCGTGGGCGGGCTGATTGGGCTAGACGCTACACTGAGATGTTCCAAGCCAGTGATGTTGTACTCGATGATGCGGAGGGTGGGGAAGTAGTTCGGTACTACGCTGGGTGAGACATGTGTTACCGCGTAACGTTCAGCATATCTTCCTCCAATCTTCTCGAGATACTTCTTCCTCTCTTCCTTCCGGTCTTTTGGCCACTTCCCGACCATGGTCATGAGCCACTCCCACATCGACTCCTCCTCTTCTTCCTCGTCATCGACATTCTTCGAGCGCGACTTCTTGTTCGATTTCGGCGGGGGCGCAGGTAGCTGAGCCCAAGCCTCCCGCAAATTAAGCAGATAATCCGACGCAGATGCCACCGTCACCTCACCATCTTCCAGGAGCTGAACCCCATCAGCCAGAGCAGATCTGCCATCCAAAGCTCCCATCTTGCCATTCTCCGTGTCCTTTTCGATGTGCTCGAAATCCTGCAGCATGAAGTGGTCGATGTTCATGTGCCCGAACAGACTTCCTACAATAACGTCTCGGAACTGTCGTCCAAAGAGTGTGTACTTCTGCCAACAGGTCTCGTCCCAACTCTCCTTGCTGTCGACGCGAGCAGGTGGTACGTGTCCGATGAGGATAGCCTTCATGCCGCGATCGCGCAGGATATCAAGCTGAATGCGCAGCCATTCCATGTGTTCGTAGCCGGGTTCGCGTTTCTTTGCGCAGCCGTCAACGGCGGAGTTGGAGGTGAAGAAGTACCTGCGGGTGTTAGTCACGATCCCAAGACCCAGAATCCTCCGCCACTTACATGGTGTTCAGGCTGATGACCGACAGCTTCCCAGGAATCACCTCGACCGAAAACCAGCCTCCTTGCGCAAACTGATGTCGTTGCGCCTCGGGTATGAAACCGCGCCATATGTCCAAGAATTCAGTCGTCCACCTATTTGGCCCGCTTGTGAAGATGTTGTGTGGCAAAATGTCGTTGTTCCCGAAAGTCGGTACTATGGGTATCGCGAAGCTGTTGGGCCCATGGCCGTGGCCGCTCTGTCCAAAGACCTCTGCAAACTTGGAGACCATGTACTCGTTCTGCTGCACGACCTGCTTCTGCGTCCGTGGGATTTCATCATCGTTGTCGTGTCGCGCCGAGTCGCCGGTCCAGATAACAAAGTCTACATCGTCCTTGATGTTGTCTTCAATCCACTTGAACGTCTGGTTGACAAGCGCGAAGGGAGAGTCGCATCCTGTGGTTTCTGCGCCATAGAGGCCAGCGGGTCCGCGTTTGCGATGGCACGCAGCATCGGCTTCTGTGCTCGAATATGTCTTGTAGAAAGGGTCTGGGTGAAAGTCTGCGGCATGACGTTAGTCGCGATATCAAGCCCAGGGATCAAATGGCCGACGTACCCGTAATATGTAGGAACCTGCCTGTAAGCTTTCGTCGCCCATCCGCGTCTATGGATCGGGAACCCGCAGCGCGGCTGTTTGCTGCATCGCCAGCCGCGTTAGGCGGGGCCGCGGTCGCGTGTGCCCAAAAGAGCAGCCCGCATAGAGCTGCGTCCCGTACGCGCAGCATGTGTATCATGATGGAGTGTTGGAGCGAGGCATCTGCTCAGGCTTCGTGGAAGGCGCGCGACTGTATATTCGCACAGGACTCTACCATGCAAAAGCGCCGAAGACACCCTGATGGCGCCCGCCGGGGAAGCAAGGCGCAACAGGGAGCCACCGCTGCGAGCACGATCCTTCAGCGACCCTTGTCATTGGAGCGTCATCGCCCTCGCACTAGACCTCGGGACACTCTCCCACACAAACCCCAGCCAGCAACACACATGCCCTTCCCCACAGCCACAGGTGTCTCACTAGCAAACGTACGCTGCTGATCGCGTGACCTCAGAATACCGACAATCCTCGCGCTTCATCAAATGTCTCTGTGAATTCTCAAGCTGCCGCTGGAACCTCCCCGAATATCCCTCACCGCTTGGCTTCCAAGCCACGTGTGGGCCGTTGGAATACTCTAGACAGCCCAGCAACCAGCTTGTAGGGTTGTAGACCATGAAGATTGGGCAGCAGATGACTCGCGTGATCACATTTCATCCTTTAAGAAGCCAAGGCTGCAGTCAATAATAATACCTCACCATCATCATGCAGCGAAGCGAAAGCGTGATGTGTGTAGTCCATTGTCATCTTGCACAACCGCAAGTGCTGAATCTACATGCTACTAATGATACTCTCTTCACAGAGACACCTTCCATTCTTGTAATGTAAAAGCGCACTATCCCAAGTGCCGCCATGCTCTTCAACAACCTGTACGCTAGTTTTTATTTGCGCCGCCCTGCGAAAATCATGAACACCGGGGCGCACCCTGATACTGGGCTGTCCATGCAAATACAATAGAAAGACGAAGAATCAAACAGTGCCCGTAACTAGTCATAACTTGAGTAGCCAACCGAGCCGAACACCTACGCTATGCTGCAAATATACTCGACGGCGTGCCACCGTAAAAAATCGAAAACGCCATAGGCCCGTGGCAGATAATGTGAAATGATGCATCAGCATCATATGTGTGTGTGTACGTAGAGAAGTGCTCAGGCGCCGTTGTTCTGGCCGTTCGTCGGAGCCGCGGTCGCAGCTGGCTTTTCAGAGGTGACCATCTTAGTGTACATGCCCTTGACCGATGCGACAGTCACACCGGGCCGAGGCCAGTGGTGGTTGATCGTGAAAGTCCTATCATCGATTAGTATAAGTGTGTGAGAAGCTGATGAACATGCTTACCATAGACGATCCTCGAGCTCCTCATTCTGTTTAGTGTTTTGGCGGATGAAGTTGCCGACAGCCATCAGCTCTTGTTTAAGGATCTTGAGCATGCCTTCCTTCTGCGGGTAATTCTTCGGCGTCGCCTTTTTAAGGCGGCTGAGATTGTCGCGAACAGGTCGGAGCTTACGCTCAAGGAACTCGTCTGCCTTCTTCTCCTTGGGCTTGGGTGTTTCCACGCTGCGGTCAGGCACTTGGCTCTGACTATGAGAGCGCGGGCGGTCTTCAGAAAGGCGAGGCCGATCATCCTTAATACGCGGCCTATCAACGTCGCCACTGATCTTTCGGCGGTTCTCTGGCGTGCCGTTCCGGTCAGAGGTGTGGGCACGACGATCAACGCTGTCGCGGTCGCGGTCATTGCGATGGTCCTTGCGGGAGTCTGAGGGCCTGTACTGGTCGCTGTTTCTAGGGCGGTCATCACGTTTCCTATCGTGATGGCGGCCTTCAGTCCGGCTATCAGGACGTCGAATTTCGCTGCTGCTGTTTGCCCGGTGCGAAGGACGCTCTGAATCCCGTCCTTGCATCTTACGTGCTAAGCCAGCTGGAGCGGGGCTAGCTGAGACGCCCTTGTCTGTCCGGCGCGCAATGTTGAGCTGGTGCTTCTTGTTGTTGCGGTGATGGTTCTCCATCATGCGCTTGACATTGGGATCCGTTGTGCTCTTGTCTTTGAGGACGGTGAGCAGATAGTTCGCGCGACGAACCAGATGCACGGCGCCAGGAGACTTGGCGTTCTTCTCTTCACCCTTCGTGCGCTCTTCCTTCTTGTCGACACGATGCTCTTCGAGATAAAACTTGTCGGTAAGACCAAGCTCTGGGTCGTCACGGATGGGAATCCATGCACCGTAGCCATGGCGCTGGATACCGATGCAAAGCATACCGTCTTCGCGTGCGCCCCAGGGACAGGAGTAGCTCGCAGGCTTGATGGCATCTGGGACGCGAAAGTTGCGCCACTCGGGAGTTGCCTCAACCGCTTCCTTCAAGACGCGCATCTCGATGGGGCGCTCAAGGATGGTCTCAGCGTTGACCTTCTTGACCTTGCCAAAGTCGAAAAGAACGGCCTTCTTGTCCTTCTTCGTGATGGGACGCTTAGTCTCAGCCTCCAGGTTCTTGAGCCTAGTCTGCTCATCCTTGACGAGTTGCGTGCTCATGGAAATGATCTCATCAAGAGTGGCCTTGACGACCTCCATGTCGCGACCAACAAGCCTAGCTGCGCGGAGCATCTCTTCGCCACGCTCCTCGAGTGAACCATATCGGCAGTACGCGCCAATGAGGTTACGCGCCTCCTTTGTGTTGAGAGGTCGCTTGGGATCGCGCTTGACGTTGTCGTCGGGCTCAGATTGCTCATCGTCGTCAGCTTCGACGTTGGTAGCCTCAAGGGCTCGCTTCTTTGCTGCGCGCTGCTCGCGTGCGCTTGCTGAGGCTGCCTTGCGCTTCCTTGGTGCGCTCTCTTCAAGAAGCTTTTGGGTCTCTTCTTCATCCTTCCGCTGCTGAATATCAGCCTTGACTGCCTCGAGCTCTTCTTTCGGAATGATGTCGTCCCATTCGAGATCGATCTTGACGTCAGTGTACTCAAAGTTCTTGAGGAACTCTTCGCCACCATCAGATGTAAGACCTGCAGCCTGCTCAGTCTTGTGCTCCTCAGCGTTCTCAAGAACTGAGTCGATGTCAAGCTCTTCTAGCTTCTTCTGGTTGCCAGACTGCTCGAACATCTTCTGTCCACGGCGCTTGAGGATGTTGTTGATGTCGTCGGCGGAGTTGGGCTCTGCTGCAGCACGACTCATCTTGTCGTTGAGCTCCTTCTGTTGGCGATCGGTGACACCACGCTGGATTGTGATGAACTCCAACATGCGCTTGTTACGAGCGCGCTCCAGAATCTCCTCTTCGATAGTGTCTTTGGAGACAAGACGATATACGCTCACAGGCTTCTGCTGACCAATACGATGGGCTCGAGCCATGGCCTGCAAATCCGCCTGAGGGTTCCAATCGGAGTCGAAGATAACGACAGTGTCAGCAGTCATCAAGTTGATACCGAGACCACCAGCCCTAGTCGATAGAAGGAAGCAGTAGTCCTCGCTACCGGGAGAGTTGAAGTGATCAATGGCGATCTTCCTCTCTGCTGCTGGGACCGTTCCATCTAGACGCTGGAATGGGTAGTTGCGCAGCTTCAGGTAGTCGGTCAAGATGTCCAGCATGTGGACCATCTGACTGAAGATGAGCACGCGGTGACCGTCGGCCTTGAGCTTTCCTAGGAGTCGGTCCAGCAGCATCATCTTACCGCTAGAGGTGATGAGGGCCTTCAGGGTCTCATCCTTGGTCGCACCGGGCTTGACGAGCTTGTTCTCCGCGTTGGGGAAGAGCAAAGCATGGTTGCTAGCCTTCTTGAGCTCCATGACGATGTTCAGTAGAGATTGCTTGTGGCCGACTCCACCCTCATTAAGCGCCTCGTAGTTGCGCGTGAGGATGTTCTTGTAGTACTCAAGCTGGATGTCGGACAATTCGACACGGAGAATCTTCTCTGACTTGGGAGGTAGGTCGTTCTCTACCTTCTCTTTGGTGCGGCGAATCATGTATGGCTGAATCGCTGAGCTGAGTTCGGCAAGCTTGTGGCTGGCGTCTTCCGAAGCAAGGTCGACGTTCTCATCAACCTGAATCTTTCCTGGCATGAGGAAGTCCATCAGGGCAGCCAACTCTCCAAGGGTGTTTTGGATGGGGGTACCAGTGATAAGAAGTCGACATGGTGCCTTGAACTGTCGGAGTCGGTCGTACAACTGCGACTCGCGGTTCTTCAGTCGGTGCGCCTCGTCGACAGCAAGGAACTGCCAGTTGATGCTCTGGAGGAACTGCCAGTCGGCAAGGACGTACTCGTATGTGGTGAGGAGCACGTTGAACTTGATCTTCTTGGTGTTGCCGTCGACCAACAGCTCCTTCTCTCGGATGATGCTGCGGGCCTCTTCTCTACCGGTGTAGATGACATAGTTGACATCAGGTGTCCAGTTGTTGAAGGTGTCTGCCCAGGCAGGCATGGTCGACAAAGGCACGACACAGATCATGGGGCCGTCTTGCCTCCGATCGTGTCTCAGCCAGTTGATGAAGGACACCGTCTGCACTGTCTTTCCCAGGCCCATCTCATCGGCGAGGATGACGTTTGTGCCGCGACACCAGTTGTGTGCAAGGAAGTTGACACCCTGAAGTTGGAAGGACCTCAGCTGGCCAAACTTGATGTAGTCAGGCTGGGTGTCCAACTTGACGAACTTCCTGCGAGTGTTCGGGTTCGCCTCGCGGGCATCGGAGGAGGGCCGGTTCGATGAGCGATCGAGGAATCGGTCAATCTCGGATTGCGATAATCGACTGACGAGCGACGCGGGTTCCCAGGTACAGAACTCGTAAGTCAGTCCCTTCCCTGTACAGCGTTAGGTAATCCAGATAGGGGTGGGGTGAGTCGACTTACACTTGACAAAGTACTCTGTCTCGTCCTCGCCGTCTCGCGAGTCGATCACACGCTCCACGACGTGGAAGTCGAGCTGGCTCTCGCGCTCGGCTTCGCGTGCAACCATGTGCTGCTCGTACTCTTCCGGGTCGGCGTTCTTGCGGCTGTAGATGTACATGTCGTTCTGGACAGGGCCCTTGTAGTAGTTGTCTAGCTTGCGGTAGCCCTTGTACGAAGCTGCCGTCTTGTAGTCTTCCCACGTGGAGTGGTAGTGAGCCTTGTCTTGCCATTTGACCTGAGATAACGAGTTAGTACTGCGTATTTGTGAGTAGGGCTGTGAGCAGTGC